AAGCCCCCCCCTCACCTCCTCCCGGTGCCCGGCGGGGTCCTCCACGTAGACCAGCACATCCCCCTGCCCCGCGCTGATGGTCTCCACCGTGAACTCGGCCCGTTGCTTCACCATGTTCCCGGTGGGCTCGATCCCTGCGGGACCCCCAGTCAGCCCCCTGCCCCGCCACGGGGGTCCCAGAGCCATCCTGGGGGTCCCGCACCCACCATGGGGGTCCTGCACCCACCACGGGGGTTCCCAGACACACCCGAGGGTCCCACAACCACCCAAGGGGTCCCAGAGCCACCAAAGGGTCACTGTGCTCCCAGTGGGCTCCATCTCTGTGGGACCCCCAGTCAGCCCCCTCCAGTCCACCCCAGGGGTCCCACATCCACCATGGGGGTCCTGCACCCACCACGGGGGCTCCCAGATGCACTCGAGGGTCCCAGAGCCACCACGGGGGTCCCAGAGCCACCACGGGGGTCCCGCACCCACCCCGGGGGTCCCAGAGCCACTAAAGGGTCACCATCTCTGTGGGACCCCCAGTTGTACCCCCCAGCCCATCCCAGGGGTCCCACACCCATCCCAGGGGTCCCAGAGCCACCCCAGGGGTCCCACACCCACCCTGGGGGTCCCACATTCCCTGTGGGCTCATTCCCCGTGGAACTCCCATCAGCCCCCCCTGCCCACCATGGGGGTCCCAGAGACACTTCAGGGGTCCTCCACACCCACCACAGGGGCCCCTCCAGACCTATAAGGGGTCCCCCCCCAGATCTATGGGGTGGGGGGCTCCCAGAGCCCCCCAGGAAGGGGTGAAGGACCCCAAATCAACAGGGAACTGCCCCCTCAATACCCCCAAACCAGCACCACCCCACACCTACAAGTGAGCCCCCACAGATTTATGGGGCATGGGTCACATAGGTTCCCCAGGATGGGGTGAGGAACCCCAAATCCACAGGGAACCATCCCCACAACACCAAATCCCCAAGGACCCCAAATCCCCAGGGCACTGTCCCCTCAACACCCCCAAACCAGCACCACCCCGCACCTACAAATGAGCCCCCCTCAGATTTATGGGGTGGGGGCCACATGGGCCCCCCAGGATGGGGTGAAGGACCCCAAATCCCCAGGGAACTGCCCCCCACAAAGCCCCAAAACCACCGTGACCCCCAAGGCCGGGTGGGGCCGGGGGGTCCCGCAGCCCCCCCCTCACCTGGGCCGTAGGCTCGGGCCTTCTTGGGGTTGAGTTTGGGGCGCAGGGGGGCCCCCGGTTTGAGCTTGGCCTTGGGGAACTGGGACAGGTACGTCATCACCGAGTGCTCGTCCACGTTGGGGTCCACGATCTCCTCGGGGGTGATCACCTGGGGGGGGCATGGGGGGGGCATTGGGGGGTCATTGGGGTCCCCCTGAACCCCCCCAGCCTGGGGGTGATCACCTCGGGGGGAGTGTAATTAGAGGGTCACCAAGGGGGTCATTGGGGTCCCCCTGAACCCCCAGGTTGGGGGGGG